TGAAATCAGTTGTGTTGGCGGCGTTTGCAGTTCGGATGAGGGGGAGTGCTTCATTGACCAGATTAAGAAGAGGGAGGAAGTTTCATGATAGTAGTGCAAAGGGAGGGTGGTGAACTGAAGGAAATAGTCAGAGGAGTGGAAAGGGCAGAGAGGAGTGAGACTTGGAGAAATGGTATAAGGGTGGAGAGAACAGGATCTGAGGAGAATTTGGGGAGGGATGGACCAAGGATGCATCCAACAAAGCTAGCAGCTGCTGATGATGTTCTTCTAACGGCAAAGGCTGTGCTGCAGATAGTTTTGTGTAGAATGTGGTGAAACGAGCTGTGACAATTCTGTGCATAAGCTTTAGCGTTCCCACTGCCACCAAAAAACGAGTAGAGCTCTGGCCAAAGAAGGATGGATGGGTGTAGTGCACTAAAGAGAAGTACGAAGACGATTTTAAACATGAGTTCCGAAAATGAATAATCATAAGAAACTTAGTGTTTTGGTATTTGCATATATGTCTTTGTAAAAAAATAAAAAAAAAATCGTATATTGTGTAATGCCATCATTTGCATTTACAACTCACTAACATTTGTTTCTACCTAATATTTGTGGTTGTGCTCGTTGTAGTTTGAACTTTGTGGGTGTGTCACTTTTATATTTCTTTAGCACGTTCCTTGGCAATCATGTTTGAGGAGTTATCAGTTATTACCATGCGACCCGGAGATAATATGAACCCGATGATGATATGAAGCACATGGCAGCTTTTGTAGCAGAGGGAGCAATAGAATGGAGGGTGCTTGCAGGTGTTTCAAGGAAGTTGGGCATCCATGGTTCAAGTGCTTCAGCCGGCATGAGGGATGGGCACCTCCAGGCATGAAGCCACCTACTGGCGAACACGCACAAATTGGTGCTCTGCAAGGCTTAGGTGCACATTGTCAAACTATATGTTTATGTTAATGTGTGATCGTTGGATAGGCTAGTCTAGGGTTAGGCTTTATAGGGTATAGCAATTGTACTTTGTGTACTTGGTCAAATTTTCACCTCTCAACAGGGTATCAGACGATACGTTTAATGATTGCTTCCGCTATCCTTTCATCTCCTCGTTCCTAGCTACTACTCACTGAGTTAGCTCAATTTCGTGTTTCCGTTCCGTTCCCTCGTGTGCCACACTGCCCCCATTCCTAGCACGCATCGCGACCTCGTTCCCTAGCGCGCTGTAACATTCGGACCCAACCCCCGCCTGGTCTTGATACGTCGAACCAGCTGGGAGGGGGAAACAAGGGGAGAAATATGATTGGTTTGAGTTTGATTGGAAGCGAGAAATTTGGAATTGACTTGATTGGAAAACTAACCAATCAGAACTCTGCTGTACAATTGTGATAGAACTTACGCGAGAGGTTTGAAAACAACCCATGTAAGTTCAAACATCACCCTTGCCCAACCAATCAGAGCATACTCACACAAAGTGAGTCGACGTAACTTCCGCTGCTGGTTGGAAATAGAACCAATCAGAAACAACCAACCAAAATCCAACTCGACTCTTCCTTGGATTTACAACGAATTGCAACATGATAGGTTTGGATAGCATTTTGCATACACAACATGTTTATCTCATTGTTTGTGCTATGTCATGATCAACCATTGCCACATGGGCAAGGCCCATGGTGGTGCACCCTTCCTTGCCATGGGGAAGGTGGCTGCACCCCAAGGGGGTCTAGGGAAGGGGTCTGAGCCAAGCTAGCTCATTCTTCACTTCCTATCCCCAACAACACAATTGGGAAATAGGATTGCTTTCTTCTCAACTCACCCTCCAGGATTTGTTACTACATCTCCCAGCACCTTCCAGACTTAGTCATTTTCCAGAAGCTACCACTCTCTGGTTGTATTAGAACCTATTGATATATGGGTAAATGCCATTTTACTTAGTAGATCGGTTACACGCGCGCTGGAGCTCTTTTCTTTTTCTTAGCGTGCTTTTCTTCCCTGTCACTTCATGGGCACTATCTAGCTGGCCCACGTGTCGCGCTGCCCCACCGCCCTTCGTGCCGGCTACGCTCCCACCCTGCGTGTTCTCCTGACTTGTGGCCCAGCACGCCTCCCGACCCCATTCAAGCGAGAATCAGCAGCAGCAGCCTGCTGTTGCCTTAGCTATGCGAGTAGTGACAGCAGCAACGCGCTGCTGCTCTTTAGAGCGCCCAATACGCTTGGCAGCAGCAACAGCCACTGTTGTACCCAGGCCGCCACTTCAGCTCAGACCGCCGCTACTCTACTCCAAAACGATACACAATTCCATTGCTTTGACACACCCTCACCTACTCCGTGCTAACTTGCCCCACAAACCTTGCCTCGCCCCACCGATCTTGCCTCGTCCCACCCCATCATGACATTCCCCACCAAGCTGAATTGTACCCCAACCCTTCCCTCTCTCCCCACCTCCACCTCCACTCTCAAGGCACATCGGTTGTGCAAGGGGCTGGTTCCACTCATGTGCTTCAAGAAGCAGTGCATCTCTGCTGCATCATGCCACTCCACCAGCATCGGGGAGCTTAGAACCTTGTTCACATGCCTCATATCCGCCAGTAGCAGCGAACATATGTTGCCATTATTGCACTATGCCAATTGACACCATGTCACATGTCTCTGGCATGCATAAACTCTCTTTCCTTGCTCCTACGGTACCCACCTTGAGAGCCCATTCTTGGAAGTACATCACTGTACCCGCTGGGGCTCCATATGCAGTCGAACTCACCGGTTGCCAGCAGACTGGCCGCAACGAGGGGTGGTAGAAGCAAGGAGAGTGGTGGTGAGTTACCGCTTGGAGTTGCTCTTTGTGCGGAAAGAACTCACTTTCTTGATCTCATTAGGTGATTGAACGGTGATGTGCGCCCCTGCAAAGCCAGAGGAAAGGCAGCGCGAACCATGGCACTGTATCGAATATTTGGAGTGCGCGAAGGATAGGAATCAGGCTGTGGGACCTGTGGTCTCACCTCCCTCTGGAGCCACAAGACCCAGTGGTCTGCTCCAGCAGTATCAAGTGGAACCTTGATCTTTACATTTTTGTGGCAGCGGAGCACAGGATGTGAAGGAGTGTGGGGAAAACTGGAGAGGTAGGAAAATGGAGGAGGGATATGGGGGGGGATGTGGAATTCTGCAAGGTCTTGATGCCAGTATGCAACTGAGGGCATTGCCACATCCGCTCAGTCTGAGCTGGGTAGAGAGACTTGAGTGTGGGGCAGAGGAATCTGTCGTGCCTGAGTGCACACTGCTGCGGTGCTCACATGTGCTTGTGTTGACGAGGCTACACCAAACAAGGAAACAGCAGTGGACGTTTTGGCACAGGCAGTGAGGGGGGACGTGTTGCTGCATGCACGGTGATTATCCTCGCTCACCGCCTGCACACCATGGTGGGCTGCCACATGGTCGTGCTGTTGGAAGACGGACAGGTGGCAGAGCTTAATTTGCCACGCGTAGCGGAGCTTAACTTGCCACGCGTAGCGGAGCTGAACTTGCCGGCGGCGCTGCTGGACGAGAGGTCATCGAGGTTCTTGGCATTTGGGGATTCAACGATGTAAGGGAAGATGCTGCTCAGCGCTAAACTGCGTTGGCCAACTCAGTGGTGGCGAGTGATGAATGAATGCTCTGCCTAGTGCCTAACGAACACAAAGGATGAGGAGAGGAGAGAGAGTGATGTGAAGGCAAAAGTGAGTGGCTGATGAGCAATGTACTTTGTTTTGACAACAACAAAGCCATTAAGTGCTGATCAAAGTGACATCCAAAGTGGCTGTGATTTCATAGGAATGGCATGTGGACCCCAATCCGCATATCACTGCACATACTTCTGGGCCCAGTTCGGCAGCCACGCGGAAGAAAAATGTGAGGAAGATGAGGCGAAGGTAAGGCGGGCGTCAACCCAGGGTCAACGAATTTTGACACCAGACTGATCGCTCCGCGGACAACCTGCGCCGTGGGGGAGCTGGCGCAGGTTGGAGGGGGAAGATAGGAAACACCATCGCATGTCCAGGCACATTTGCCTGGACATTCCAATGTCCCTGGGCACTGTAGTGGGCTCGCCCCAAACGAAAAAAGGGGAGACCGCCCCACGCTATTGGAGTAAAATTTTTTTGTGCACTAACCTTTTCCCTTTTTTGGTACAATGTTGCCCGTGAACAGTGATTCTTCTGGAAATGATAATTTTTGAAAGTGTAATGAAATGTAACACTTTCTAAAATTTTGTATTGTGAAAAGGGGTACGTGGCCAGCACAGCAAAGGTAGCGCCGAAGCGCTACTCGCCCTCTTTTGCCTACAAAAGAGGGACGTGGGGACATTCGTCCCCACCCACGTTTTCATTTCTCAGTTTGTAGTTCTAATTTCCCACCCGCCCACCCATTTGTGTATGCTGTTACGTAGACCTATATAGGACGAGAACGATGTACTAGAACCCATATGAAATGATAACGCTGCCTTTGCAAGATGATCTAAGTACACTTTCACAATTCAAAAAGTTGATTCTTGTATTTTGGAAGAATCGTTTTTTTCTTCCGTCTCACTATGGCGGAAGCTTTCCGCCAGGGGGGGAGAATAAGGACAGAAGACGGCGCGGAATCAATTTTAGGTGGTGTTCGCGACGCTGCTGCTAAACACCTGCGCTTCGATTTCCGAAAGTTTTTCCCTACAACCCGCACTGTTTTGCCCTCGATAATGCGATAAGAAGCTTCGGTGAAGACGGGAACATTTTTCTTCCGTCCTCCTCCGTGGCTGCCAAACCGGGCCCTGATTGAGTTGGCTTAATCTTGTAGCGAAATGAGAGCAAAGCATTTCAAATCATGAAATCCAACATACACTGGGTTTACACAGCAATTTAACATCTCAATTTCTATCATGCCACTATGCACACCTATTATTTAATATATCCATGTACTACCGCATCTGACCAGTGCAGAAGGTGATAATAACTCATAAAACCACTCAAAAAAAAAAAAGCGCAGACTCTGCAGTGCAGCGTCACAATCCCTTGTCACATAAAATCACTTCCATCGCTATTCTCGTGTTCTCCCCTGCGCCATGCAGCGGCGTACATGCAGTCCGCGGAGCGAATATCCGAGGTGATATAGTCCTCCGTGCGCCCATCCAGGAATCCCCTGCCACTCTCGCTCTCCACCTCCACCGGCTCGCGCAGCAGGCGGGTCAGCAGGCGGTACCGCAGCGAGCGCACCATGCGGGACTCCTCCGCTCGGAAGGTCTGACCCAGCACACCATGAATGCCATTCGTGTGCTGCTCAATGGAGGGAAAGAGGGGACGACAGCAAGGGGGGAGATGGGTGAAGGTCTGACCCAGCACGCCGTGAATGCCACTTGTGTGCTGCTCAAGGGAGGGAAAGAGGGGACGACAGCAAGGGGGGAGATGGGTGAAGGTCTGACCCAGCACACCGTGAATGCCACTCGTGTGCTGTAGAGGGGAGGATGGAGAAAGGGGGCGAGAAGAGGGGGACAGAGGAGGGAGTTGGGTGAAAGGAAGGTGAGTGCATGGGACAATGTGACAGATAGTCACCATAATCAAAGTCACAAATGGTCATCGCAGCACGCAGGCGAGCACAGCACATACAGCACATGGCAAACAAAAAGAAAGGGAAAAAAGAAAGGTGTTGCTCACATTGAGCTGGGCGATGTGCACATTGAAATGCGCCTGGGCCTCCGTAGCCGTTTGCATGAGTGGGTGCGCCAAACGTGCCGTGATGCCCATGTCCACCAGGCTGTCGATCGTGAGAATAAAATCGTCTTGGTCCTTCCCCTTGCAGCTCCGCGTTTCCGCCAAAAGCAGCTTGAACCCGCCGCTGCCGGTGATGGAAGAGCCGGCGGACAGAGGCGGGGCCACCGGCGAGCCGTCAAGCTCCAGTCGGTCGATGAACCCGCTGCTGCCCCTCCCTTGCTCCTTGCCGTCTCGCGCCTTGAAGAACGCCGAATGCTGTGTGCCAGTTGAGTCGCGCCACATCACTTGGAGCTCTCTGGAAGGCACAAAGAACAATGGGAGTGCTGAACATGAAGCTCGTAACGATTTTGAATAACAGAGGAGATTTGGAAAATAACACCGAATAGTTTACGCCTGCAGGAAACAAAACACAAGATGATAGGCAAGCACGGTGTAACGTACCTGATCCAGCTGCGAATTGTCTTTCCTTTGAGAAGCTTCGCTTTCAGCTTATGCTTCGCATACTGAACCGAGTAATGCCCCTCTTCCCCTCCGCTCCCGCTGCGACGACCCATCTCCCGCTCAAGTGCTGCCACCACCTCAGCAGTCAACGGCAGGCTCCCATTGGCCCGCATTCTCTCCAGCTCACCCAGTTCCGCCACACTCAGCCTCTCCTGCTCCAGCTGCCTGATATGACGTGGCTTCTTCTCTTTGGCCGCCGCTTCCAGCGCTGCAGCAAGCGACTCTTCGTCCAATGATGTCGCCGTGCCGGGAAGATTCGCGATTGGCTGGTAGCCCTTGATTCCCATGTTGATGTGGATCCGACGGTCGGAAAGCAAGCAGAAGGAGCGATCAAGAAGGCCGTTGAAGTCGTAGCGGGTGCCATCTGCCCCCCGAAAATGCGGGTCGTCATTCGTGTTGGCAAGGGGGTTGCACTCTCCACCCAGGAACGTTGGTAGGATCTGTACGTCCCAGTTCCTCACGGTGATGCCTGCCAATGAGCCCAGCATCGTGCATTGGCCACTGTTTGCCAGTGTCACGGAGGGGATAAAGAAGTTAGGCCGCAGGAGGGGTGGAAGTGAGGCGGTTTGAAGATACTAGTTTTGAGGGGAATGAAAATAGCACCACACGACGGTGTGGAAAACAGTACGGGCCTGGACAGGAGCGCAGACGTGATTGTGATTTGACGCAAGGAGTAACGAATATCAGTGGGGATGCTTACGGTTGGCCGTTCACTGAGGGTTTCACGTGCCAGAACCGGCAGCCAACCTGCATGACACAGCGCTGGCAGCATTCCAGATATACTGTTGTACCTGGCTGCCACGAAGAGAAACGGGAAATCGCAGTTTATGCCAGCATATGAAGCCTGGCTTGCAACAATGATGTGCCGCCCGTGGCAGCTCAGACCAAAGAAACATAAAGAACGTTGCGAATTTGGTACTGAGTCAGTTAGTATGACAGCATACGGGGGCGGAAACCTAGTGGTAGCAACGTTGGGATATATGTTTACCCAGGATGTCTTCGCGGAAGCAACGACATCCGCGACCGCAGGGTCGAGAACGTAGCGCTCATAGTTGTAGTTCCCGAGAATGAATTGCGGTCCCGACGCTCTTGTGTCTTTGTCCGCCTTGTCAGGTCGAATATAGTACCCCAATTTAAGATTGTTGCATTTCTTGTAGCATCCGCGGGGTTGTGTCAGGGGGCCATGCGGTGCGTCCTCGTCAGGATGCCGAGGTGCTTCAGTCTGAGAGGGTGCTCCCAGAAGCACCGCGGCGAACAAAACCAGCAGCAACGATGATGTCGCTCCGGCGGCACTTCCACTGGCAGTGGCGAAACCGCTTGAAGCGCCGCGTTTTTCCATGTTTGATGCGCAACTCTAAAAAAAGGAGTGTTTGGTCAGAGCGACCGAGGATGGCGATCACACTTGAATCTACGACTGCACTAGTAGGTCTGAACTGCCGCCAGCAACGAAGGAGCATGTCGTGTCTGGCTGGAATCCGAATCAAGAAAGCAAAAGGGTTAAAAATCAACGCAGCGCGCATTTTCGAGTCGGGCCCGACTCGAATTCGCTCGTTCTAACGGTCTCTGAGAAGAGAGCTCTTACTGTACGGGAGAAAAGCCCATCCGTACCGTGGAGCCACGTCAGCTTGGTTCAGCTTGACTGTTGAGGACGATGACAAAGGCATGCCAATTCGTTTGGCAGTATTGAGTGCCTAGTCAAGGGGCAACCTCAATAGTAGAGGTACGTCTCGTCGGACCGCCGCCGGCTGCTGTTGGAACTGAGTGTTCAGATGAATCTGCAGGTACTTATTTCGTAAGGACGTTGAACGCTGCAGAACGAGCATGTGAAGGCGGGTCTTTGGCAAGACGGACAGTGCATGACGACGACCAAAGAACCCTAGAGTTCGCGAGGCGTGCGACTAGAAACAGAAAGATCGATGCTGACGACTTCAGCAACAACCGACGTAAGTTGACGACGAAACAAAAATCAGAAACGAACAGAAAGATCGATGCTGATGGACAGAAAGTGGCCACTCGAACTGGCAGCCTGCCAATCCATGCTGGCAGACTGTTAGCCGACGCTGGCAGACTTTCTTTGAAACGCAATTTTTGTCGTTTCTAGGAGTGCGCAGCCTACACATTTTCATTCCACCTTATAGTTTGTATTCTCTAAAGAGAAACTCATCGTAGCTGTACTCTCTAACAGCATATTGATATGATTTGACAGATGGGGGATAGGATGAGTAGTTTCAGAAAATAAGTGGCTACAAGATTCGGTACTACCGTAAGTTTATATGTTAATATGCATATCACAAAGAGCAACTGTATCAACTTCCACTCCAGGAAGATTTCTCAGTATCAGAGCATGCAAGTTGTGACCTTCCGTTCTAACAAGCCTCAAACGAGGTAAAATCTGCAGCAATGTCACCCCATTTTCTGTGACGACAGAATCTGACACATCCAATCCTTCCAAAGCAGTTAGATGCTGCTGGATATGCTCCAGACCAGCATCATTGGTCATGCTCAGAAGAACAAGCACTTTGAGCCTTCTCAAATGTGGCAGAAACTGCAAACCAGTACCAGTCACTCGGGTCCCATTTAGATAGAGGGACTTAAGGCTGCTTGCAGCTCCAATGCCTTCCAAGCAGAGTCTGTTACAGCATGGCTAGTCACCTCTAAGCTCTCTGGCTGCATCAAGTAGAGGTCCTTAAATCCCTCTAGGACTGAACGGTGTAGACCCATCGAGAGCAATGTGCTTCAGGTGAGCCATGGTTGACACATGGCAAAGGATGGCTTCTGAGAGGTAAGGCAGTCCCTTCAGATCCAATGTCGCCGTCGAGTGGATCCTCTGCAAATGATGGAAAAAGGGGGGAAGGTAAACGTTTGACCAAGCACCAGTAGGAACCAGCAGTAGCAACAGTACCGGCAAAGGTTTAGAGGCATAATCCTTCCTTCTATCCATTTATCTAGCAGGTGACGTTACCATTCTTGCACTCACCTGCCAAACAGTTCTGCAAGCCCCTTGGCGCATCCTAAGCTCCTCGTCAACGTCAATCTCCACATGCCTAGGTGCTGGGGATGGCACAACTGCTGCCTCATCCAAAGTCACTCCTCCTCTCAGCGTTGTTGCGTGATGCGTGCTGTGCTGAAACTTTACACGGTAGCATCTGAAGCCCAGACATCTGATCCAACATGAAATTCAGAATCGCCTGAAAGAGAGAAATGTAAAATCACGTGAACAGGCAAGAGAAGACAGGAGGATATGAGGGCAGAACATGGGTCGATAAGGAAACAACACGTGACATTACAATGCGATGCATAGGGAAATGAAGCTACTTGCCATGTGGTAACAAGGTGAAGTATGAGTAGTGGAAAACAGGGTGGAAAATATCGCATGTATTTGAAGAGAAAACCGGGCCGTGAGAACTGAAGAGCTGACTTTTATGGATGAGTCAATTGGAAGTGAAACGGCAGGACATATGAGACAAAGGGAAGAAAGAACAAGAACGACGAAAAAACAAGACTTCACAGCACGATTCATGCTGATGGATCTAAACACATGCTCTTTATAAGTTTTTCCATTAGAATAACTAGGCTATGGGGAGATGCTCCTTCTCCCCGCTAGTTTCTAAGATTTTCTTACGAGCAACATCAGCATGTGGCATGGGGATACGCTAGGAGAGGGACAGGGAGACAACGACAACGACAGGTAGGAGAAACCTAGTAAGGGCTAGGGGGGTAGTAATGGGAGACAACGAGAACGATGGACGCATTACAGAAAACATAATGGAAAAGAGAGAGCATTCGAATATGAATCATTAGCGGAGATTCTGAGTGATTACCTGCGAGCGAGACTGTCGGCTCCAACACGCCGACCATTGAGCACGACGCCTCCCCGTCGCATCGACCCTTGCCGCTGGAGTGGTCGATGCCCTTCGTCGACGTCGTCTTCTTTGACGTCTACTTCTCCTTGCGCGGCTTCTGATCTCGACGGGGGCGACGACCGGTCGTCCGTCCGCGGTCTCCCTTGATGTCGTCCTCGTCGTTGTCGTCGCGGTTTGGGCACTCGAAGGAGAGATGGTCGGGGTCGCCACAGACCCAACACTCCCACCGTCGACCACCGCCTCCACTGCCCTTCTCCCGCATCGACTTCTTCTCGTCGACGTCCTTCGTCGATCATCCACCTCCGCTACCACCTTCGCCCGGCTTACCGCGTTGCCCTTGCCGGCTATTCTGCTTGGTTGGTGCAACGTAACTTGCCTGCGAAAGGAGCTCCTGGGCCGTTCTGCCTCCTGCATTGCCTCGTCCCTTAGGATGAATGAGGTCAGCGAGTCCTCGTTGAGCGACTCCCGTGTGCACGGCACCACCGACAGGCGTTTCATCAGATTGCAACTGCTCGGGAGCCCCTTGATGACGTGCGTGATGTACGACACTGTCGAGTAGGTGATGCATGTTGGCAAGGAGACGTCGAGCTCAGTTGCAGTAATCGGTCGCTGTCTCCTGCTCACCCATCCGCAGATGCGTCACCTGCTCCTCCAACTAGCCGATGTACAGGTCGTCGGTGACCTAATACGTGGACGTGATGAACTGCCACGCCTGGCGGCCAGAGTCCAGGTGACTCTAGCAAGACTTCAAGGCGATTTGTACCACCGGTGAGCAGCACCGCGAGATGACCGTGAAGGTCAGCAACTGCACGGCACAAAACTCCGCGCGCAGCTCGGCGTTGCTCTCAGGCGGCGTCTCCACGGTGCCATCGGCGAAGCACATCAGCCCGGCCATCTCCAGCTGGGGCTCGATGGATTCCTTCCACGTGAGGAGGTCGCGTCGACCGACGAGCGGCACCGTGACGGAGATCTTGTCCGGCGTGAACTTGAAGTACCTGTAGGTCGGCGCAATCCCTCGTGCGGTCACGTGGGTCGTCGACGCTGGCGTCATACTGCTTCGACGTCCTCCGATGTCGCCCTGCGAGGAGCTTGCAGCTGCCGACGACTGTTGTCATCGCGCTCGACCTCTGCCGATTTCATCGGCGTGTATCACTCCTCTCTGCCTCGACGTGCCTCCCGCACTACTGCCGACTTGGTCACCGGCGCTGTCGCCCACGTCAACGCCGCCTTTGTTGTTCACCGGTCGAGGAGAGGAAGGTCGAGAAGAATGCTCCATCGCCCACTTTGCACAGATGCCTAGCTCGACAACCTCCAAGGGAAGCGTCTTCGCGTACTCGTCATCAGCGTGGCGTCTCCTCGCATCTGCCAGCCATGTCTTCAGGGTATCCACTACGCCCGCGTCACCTACGGCGCCCACCACAGTGATTAACACAGCTGCCGGCCTATGAACACGATAGTTAATGTGCAACTAAGTCGACTAGACTGAAAGGTAAGTCGCGGTGCCTTCCACGCTCACCGCACCATGCGGAGATAACTCTTACAACAGGAGCTAGTCTACGAGCTAGGCACGGGGTAGGGGTGATCGTAGCGTTCGTTCCTTGCTCATTCGCGGGGAGATTCGGCAAGAGTTTCACTAGCAAAAGTTGCATTAGAGAATGATTGAACATACAATGGCAAGAATGACTACATCAGACACCCAGTTACCCAGCAGCCAGGCTGGTCGACTGCCACCGCAGCATGGTCGACCGCGTGCCAGCGTTGCGTAGAGGAACTGCGCCAACACTGCAGAAATGCGGCCTGCCAACAGAGCAGGTCGACGGCGTGCCAACGCTGCACTAGAGCGGCTGTCCAGCGTTGCACCCGTAGAAGACAGCAGTGCGCACATCCGCAGGTTCGCGTAGACGATTGGCCCGACATGCAGCGTCACGGATTTGTCGGCGGCGTCTGCGCCTGATGGGCCACATCGACTTTGGGATACCCGCCCGAAGTCGCCTTCGCCATCGCGACCTCGACGACGTTCGCGTGCCTCCGCAGATTTCGCCAAGCACGTAACCTGGTCGACCACCTAGTGCGTGCCATGGTCGACGAACCCCTCCTTGTTAAGAATAGCTTGAGAAGAGCCATGGCTGCCAAGAGGGAATTTGACGAGAGGAAAAAGTTGGACTAACAAAGTGTGGAGATACAATTGTAGGAAACCCTGATTGAACTAAGGGTTTGTTCAGTTTGTGCTAGAAACCAAGAAATTAACCTAAAAAGAACCTAAAGTGTAACTCGCTCTAAACATGGCGAAATAACAAAAGAACATCATGATAAATACCAACGAGCTCTAGCCTACTCCAACACACCCCCAGGCTAGGCGAAGATCTGGAACAGAACACCTAGCGAAGCGGAACACCCCCAGAAGTGACGAGACGAGTGAGTCCGAGCGGTGCACGAAGGAGAGCCTTGGTGAAAATGTCAGCAAGGTTGGCATTAG